TGTTTCATAACGTGTGTGCTTGGTAGCTTTTATCGGCTGTTGGTGAGTTAAATACTCATTTGTTTTGCTGAATGCAATGTTCGTTTTGTTTTAAATCACCAGGTAAATTGATCCCAACTGTCGAGTTGCCGGCGAACGTTGTTTGAGACTAGCTACCGAGCCCACTGCATTTACCGAAGAACCACAAGAATTCAGCATTAAAGCAGGTGCAAATATTTTTAACCAGACGTGACATCATCACGCTCTAATAAGCCGATTTAATCAGCAATCGATACTTTGCCCTCTTTGGCCTCCTTGTCCTCCATTTCATTTCAAAAAGAGATAGCTAGATAATGCAACGCAGGATCAATAAAGGGTGCTGCAGCGCATTGCAGTGGACTGTCCACGAATCGATCAAATGTCATCGATTTTTGATCAGAGTTGGCGCTTGATATTCGATAAAAGGATGCTTGGATGGTCTTGTGGAAGGGACTGTCCTATTCACATGCCTCTTTTGCCTCTCTACTCGGGTTCTTACACACTGTTGATCAGGAGGGTTGTATGGTAGTGATAGCAAGACACTACAGGGCTGCCTGTGCTATGGAAATAGTGCTGTCGTGAGTTGTGTTTATTCAACCCATTAATCCGATCGCTCCACCTCCTACACAGGGTTCCTCTTGCCGCAGCATGTGGCCAGCCGCGCGAATTCTCAATTCCCCATTCATTAGCACGAATATTTATCTTGGAGTGTCCCCACACCTAGGTCTCGATGTTAACGCATGAATGACTCACACATCGGAGCTATAAATACACACGCACAAATCCCACACACGACACAACGACACCAGTTTTGGTTGAGCTCTGAAGTAAACGGTTGTGTCCACGTCCTCTCCAGTCTTTTTCTTCATCGCGAGTATCGGGGAAGCGTTATCGGACCAGGGTTAATTCCGTGGCCCCGGTGTGGTCCAAGACCACATGCTGAGGCCCACAAAAATTGGTGACCCCGACACACCACCACGGATTCGTCAAGTTCTCGAATAAACGATTGACGCTCTGTCCTTCCACCGACTTCACCTTTGTTGGGTAGTTAGTGATATATGGCGTCCCAACAGTGTCAACATAAAAAGCTATGCACACAAATGTCCCCGGACGTTAAATTGACTGTTCCTCGATGACATGACAATCCCCCAAGCGCAAACGTCAGTATTTCCACGCAAACAAGTATCTACGAAAGCAAGCAAACTCCAGATTGCCTTGAATTAGTAGATTTGATGCCACATTTTATGGTGCAATTAATAACTACTTGACTAAAAGTGGAATTGGGGTCAAATATACGCTAAAAGTGCATGACCTGTCAAGGTTAGTGGGGGGGGATGGGCTTGGCTGGGTGCAGCCAGCGCAAATTGTGAATGTTTCGGGTCAAATGCCAATCTGAAACGATCGTTTTTAAAATTTTATAAATGACAGGCGGCATAGCTTGGCTTGCAAATGTATGTCATGGTTAATTGCACTGCAAATCTACCCAGATAGACCTCGATAACTAGGATTGACAATGGGGACGACGTTCCACACTTCGGAGATTTTCAAAGGTAATTTGCATCTCGGCATCTCGATTAACTGAGTGTTTCTGGCAAATGATTTGTTAATTAAAATAATTGGTTACTAAACCTTCACATTATGAGTTCTAACGACCTTTGCAGTATTAGTAAAAAGACTCAGCCAAACATGACAAGTGAATCGTATTATAGTCGGTTCTCTAGTTGCTAAGGTAACCCATAACATGGCACTTATTTTCACTTCTTCCAAGAGTTCGATTAAATTGGCATTATTCCTTAACCGAATCCTCTTAAGAACAAGTAATAAATATTGGTGGCTTAAAATTATGTATCGATTTTTACATCTTATACACATGGGTTTTGATAACCAATTATTTTTCTTTAATTGCGAATAAAATATACTCGATTCACTGAGTTCTACCTTATCTATCAAAAATCAGTAGTTTTTTTAATTGGCTAGTACAAGCGTTCAAATCGACTTGTGGAAGTTGATCATGGATTATTTGTTTGCGTCCATTTAACAAAAAACCTTTTTACGAGGTTGTACTAATGTCTCGAGCTGCCGTTGTAATTTCCATGAAAATTTGTCTGTATAACATCCATTGTGAAATTTTATCTCTTGTTTTAATTCCAATTCCCGCTAGGCGCCACTCACAATTTACTCATTGGATCTGCAAATTGTATTTTGAACTAATGTCGTAGCCAACTGCTCTGCACTTTTGCTGTATGCTGTTTATCATTAAATGATTGCTGTTTAGGACAACACTAACACGGTATTTTATAATTCAAATGGCCGTTAAATTAATCAGAGGTTTGTAGAAAGTCACTGCATAAAATGTTGGTGTGTTGTCAGTACGGAAGGATAAGAGATCAGCAAGCAAGTATTGCTCAAAACTTCTTTCGACTTTACAACATGGACCGTTAACAACCAAATTTAAATTGCCCAATTCCGTGCTTTGCTCTTTACATTCTGCTCAAACTAAGAAGAGAGCTTCGTGGATCGATTTTTACGGTTAACTGAGAACTCCCAACTTGAGTCCCATCACATCTAGTGTCTTTGACTAAATCATTTTCGTAAAATTTCATTTACTAAAAAGTAATTAAGCAGGAGAAATTGCATTCATAAACTGAGGTTGGATTTAGCATCCATAGGGTTCCAATTATCCGAGTAGTGAGGCACCTCAGACCCACACCACCTCTGACACAGAATACATATTTAAGTCCCGTTATAAACAACAATACAGAGGAAATGATTCGCAGCAGCTGGTTCTCGGATTTATAATAATAAATTCTTGAATTTTTTTTACTTATATACGGAATATTTCAGCATAACTGGAAATTTTTCCTGTTATTTTGAGGTCCGTTTGCGTGATTTAGGGACGATGTTATCAATAATTAAACTGGAGCATTCTTCTAAATATTTAACTCGGCGAGTGCATTGTTAAGCAATTCACTGTCAAGGTTTTTTAGATGAATGTGTCATTTTGCTTGAAAAGACGGAAGTTCGAAAAAAATAAGTCAATTTTAACCCAGAAATTTCACTGAGTTCCTACAGATGCTTCCTTCTAATGCAGTTAATTTCCTCACTGATTCATGCAGAATCGGAAACCCAAACTTAGGAATAAAAAAACAAATATTAATAAGTTTCTTTAGCGCCATTTATCGACAATAATGTTTAAGTAGTATTTTCAGCTTTAATAATGGTTGTGGGCCCCCGCACGTGGTCTGAAGCTCGCCAGGGCCACTGAGTTAACGCTGATCCGATTACGCTTTCCTGCTACTTGCGATGAAGGAAAAGACCAAAGGGTACAAGGACAAAGTTTTTACTTCAGAGCTCGACCACGTTAATATTATGTGTGGCATTTGCGCATGGGTATTTATGCCTCAAATGTGTACGTCATAAGAGAGCTGACATTGAGGCATGGGTGTGAGGATAATCTAGGATAAATTTTCCTATCGCTGAGGGGGAGTTGAGATTCCGCGCGGCTGACGACATGCTGTGAAAAGGGGGGCCTTTTTTCGGAGGGTGAAGTGATCGAGTTGGTTGGTGTGAATCAACGTGATTCACGGCAACCTCGATGTTGCCACATTTATCCTACCCAAAATTCAAATGAGTAGACAACTTCTTCGGTTTTGACTTCTCAAGAATTCCAAGATCCTCGGACATTCGGTACTTTTACTGAGATACTTGCATTTTTGCATTAACTCGAGCACAAATTTTGGTTAATGGATTATCACATTACAAAATTTTTAAGGATGAACATGGTTTTTTTACTGCCCAAGAAGGTGAAGTAGTTTGGTTATTTGTTTTGATGCCATACGAAAAAATTTCGCATATATGATTTATACGTAGGATTTAGAACGAAATAGTTTGTGTTTAGTTAGACAACGTATGAAAAGTATTTTAACATTCCCAAAATTTACGGTATAAGGCCGTGAATTAACAGGTTCTGGATTAATTATTATTATGTAGCCTTTTGGAATAAACTATGTTTTATTGGGCTTTGAACTTCATTGAGCTATCAACATACGTGTTCAAATAGTATGAGTAAAAACGTAGGTTCACTGCTAAAATATAAAAAAAAACGTGACTTTACATCCTATGGAATTTTGCCTTTTTTTATCTTGCGTTTGCAAACACAACCAAAAAAGATTCGCTTTTATGACGTTTAGCTACTGTTGATCCGATAGTGATCTCTTAGCTCAATATGTAAGTGGATGAGTCAAATGTACACATAGCCAGTTCTAACCATAACGTGCTTTTAAAGTTATTCTTAGAACGATTATTACAAATAATGTCCGTGATGTTAATCATTGATATAAATTTTACTTGGATTTGCTTTGTCTTAGTGCATGATCATAATGATGCATCACTTAAAAGGCTTTTGTTAATTATTGAGTATTTTTCCCTAGATCTACCACTGACAACGCAAAAACCATTTCATGGATTTTGATAGCTTTAGTAGAAAAAGATTATCTTCTATATGCAGCTATTCAGGAATCCGCAATGGATAAATGAGCACGCGAATTCACAAATTATTCAATGTCGCTTTCAATGGAATGAAATGAGGACTTGAGCAACATTAGATCTTAAAAATATTTAAAATGCCCCTCGCCGAATATAAATCCACTTAATATGGATTTGCATAAAGTATCCAGATTAGGATTTAGCCTTCTTGAGATCCTGTCAATATTTCTAGACGCTTTCGATGCTGTTGCTTTTGATTCCACGAGTTCTGACTGCGACGCCAACTTTGATTCTAAAAATGGATGCACTAACTCCATATCCTCAATAGATATTCCTTTGTTCTCGTCAACGTTGCTGAGCTTGACTAAAATAATTCCTTTCAATCACCTTGTTTTCCATCATAGGTTCCGTGTTTGTTTATCTGATTTTTTACAATAGTTTAATCTTGGGTTCCTTTTTCAAATTCCAATGTTATTAATTTTGCCTTTTGAATTAAGCCGTCTGGCCGAGGAGTGGCTGCATGAATTTTTTTACAATCACTTTACTCCGAGTGTGGGTATTCCTAATGTGGAATATCCAGCAGTTAATTGAAATTATTCGAAAGAAAAGGGATGACTTTTTACCAATTACTGATCTCCGAATTGTGTATAAAAAGGACGGACTATTGGTTTTGGACAAGTCGCCAGGGTTGCTGATAAATAGTATCAATCCCTGGTGGAATTATATTACTCTCCAAACGCAGGTAGGATGACCGTAGAATTTACTTCCGCAGCTATTCTTCTCAATGCCCGACCTGGCTGACTTTCAGCTTGAGCACATGTATCGTTTTATTAACCGCCTCGATGCTCCAACGAGTGGCCTTATCTGTGTCGCTTATTCTCAGAAAATGGCGGGACTAGTAAGTGTGACCAATGCTTCCTATGGGTTGATTAACTTTGCGTTGTATTTATGGAAATGGTCATCTTTAATCGGAGTATTGTATTTCTATGCTTATTAGCTTATTGACACTTTTATCCAGCTTGGGAAATATTTTTTTACCTTATTGTACAAGATGGGTTGTATCATGTATGGGCTCCCAGGGCTTTGAATATGGTTGAAAAAGTAGAAAAGTTATTTAGAAACTGCATGATGTCTAATTTACGCGATCATATGCATGGGAAAATAGAATCAGAGTATGGTCTCAGAAGGTGTTTGACGTTCAAACACCACGTCAGCCCTGACGCACATAAAAAAAATTATTTTTGCCGTTTCCAGCCTTTCAGGGACTTCAACTGGAACCGGAACATTATAGGAAGTTCATTTTTCAGCAAGTCTCATGTTTGATGACCTTGTCCAAAATACCCGCACTTTTACTTATTTGACTATTTTGATTAATTGCCGAGGATAACTTTTGCATAGCAATACTAGGTGACCCGCTTATAGTCGTGTATTGCCAGTTGTCTCAACCGAAGCAGCAAGATCGGCGAAATTGAAAGTAATGTGGGATTACTTTGTTGGTGTTTCGGCTTAGTTAGTCTATAAATACCATCTGCCAGCACTACTTGCAAGTAATTGTAATTAGCTAACCAAAATTTAAACATTTGCATTCGCAGTCCTGATTCGGCGCTCGGAGTGTCGAATATGAATTTCTAACCTTGTCATTTTAGGCAGGACGTGCCTTTCAAAATAGGGCTGCAAAAAAGCGCTATCTGGCTGTAGTTTGGGGACATGTTGATGATTCTTCCTGTCTTGGTAAGCCCCGACAACCAAGATCCAAATACCTGCCTCCATTCACTATCGAACACGGCCACGATCCAATTTGCACGAAGATAGGCGAGAAGGAGTACCTAGTCGACTTTGCGATTGGTAAGCTAAGTTTCACTTGGCCGAGTGGACTCAAGCAGAAAATTATGGTGCCGGGATTCGCGCCAAAATGCCAAGTAAGCACTTTGCAAAAGAAATTAATATTTTCACTGCACCCTGTCACAACAAAAATGAGAATAGGTCAAATACTTTGAATTTCTTTCATCCTTTGCAGCTTTTTGTTCCTCCTCTCCATCACCACCACAAAAAACAATGCAACAAAGCACGCTAGATACGACTCGCGTCAGTAAAATAATTTGCTTTATAAGATGAGATAATCTTTATGTTTACAGGTAATTGTCATAAACATTGAGTACCTTAGAAATGTCTATTTGACCACCCACTATCATGTTTATCAGTGTGATTTAGGGTCTAATTTCGCTCGTACATATGAACTTTTAAGGAAGGCGTCAGTAAATATCGGAAGCCGTTCGTCTGAAATTCGATTTACTTAAGCCTTGTCTGTTTTTTTCCAGCGACCCAGGACTGCTCAAACGAAAGTGACGGTGCTCAAACACGGCTACTTGGAAGGAATGGCGGCGAGTTTGCTCCTGCTGCAGCCACAGTCAGGTCGCAGGCACCAACTGAGGTTGCACTGCGCCATCGGGCTAGGGGGTCACCCGATCGCCGGGGACCTAATTTACGGCCGCATCTATGGCGACAATGACACTCAAGAGGCAGCTAATTACCGCGTACCCCGACTGATGCTTCACGCCTTGTCCCTGGACCTCCAACTAATACCAGATCCGCCTTCTGTGAAGGGCCTAAAGAAGCAAGAGAGGGTTAATCGGTCGCATCCCCAACCCCTCCAATTGTATTTCGAATCCTCGCGGAACATGCTAGAGCGCTGCCATTGGGTCGATCACGCGGTTTTTAATAAATTGTAGTTTTTCCTAAATTTGCTTATTGAAAAGGGGACAAACTCCAGGAACATTCAAGAGGTTTTGCTTCGTACCCGACCGTGTTCCGCAAAAAGGTTACTCTGGAACCAGAGCACGTTTCTAGCTTTATAAGTCGTAATCGAGGATGATCCTAGCAACCCGCGTATGCCTCTCAGCAGGCTAGACACTCTGTCTAGTGTTCAGTCAGCAAGATTTTTAGACGTATTGCCTCTGGGCTAAAATGAGGTCCATCATTACAGTCCGAGACAATCCATGGCCCTGTAAAAACTACCCGAGTTTTTACTGAAGCGTGTCGGGCCATTGCTGCCGGGCGTCACACCTACTTCTTACTTGTGTTTGGTTCATGCAATCAGAAATCTCCAAATCAATAAAAAAAACTCCTTGGACGTTTCGAAGTGGTATAATAAAAGCCCAAACAGGTCGCCCAGACTTGCCTGTAGGCCTGTATGACACGACTGACAACTGGTCTTTTGCGAACGATTCTACTAGTCATCCCGTCAGTGTCACTCGAAAACAGCAGTCCATACAGGTGTTTACTTAAAACCAAAGCAACAGCCAACTTTCTGATGCTGCCATAAATTAAAGTAAGTTAAAATTGACTAAAAAGGTTAGTTAAATCTAAAAAAACTGAATTCTGCGCCTATCGGCTTGTTGTTCAACTGTGATGATTGCGCGGCGATCTAAAGAAAGAGGTTCGTTAGACAGTCACCTAAAACTGACAAGTGGTAACCAAGACAACGGGCTCACGGAGTTTAGTCGAGTATACTGACGACTTGGAGGAGGGCGATTTGTTGCTGGAGTCATGCGCGGGAGCTACAACGAGAATGTAGAGTCGTGATTGAGTCGGACTTGCACACAGCATGCGGCGCAACCTCCCCATAATTTGGGTTCAGGTATTCGCCACCGTTTCAAATTCAATATGCAGTTTAACTATGTCTGTGAGTCGATTTAAAATTGAACAAAGTAGGTATCACAGCAATGACAACCTTTCCAAACCAGACTGTGTACTAAAGACTACTTTCCAGACATATTACAGAGAGCTTACTTTTGATTGTCGGGCCGGGGGCATTCCTCCCTTCATTAGTGGAGTGTTTTGATGACGATCAATTGAGGCGGAGGCGGTGGCGATTTTGCGTTTGATCGAAGAAATGGACACTCGATCGTGTTTCGCTTCAGGGGTGGGTACGGGCTTCAAGGAACTGGGCTTGCGGTTACAGTTGTACCCAAAAAGACGGGTAATTGGCAAGGATGAGGGCGAGGCCTCGAGCAGTTTGGTCAGGTTGGGTGCCAGTCGACTCAGGTGGCTGGATGAGGCCGACATTGCTGGCGTCCTCAGTCTGTTCACGATAACGGGAGTGCGCAACTGGCTTGGGTTGCCAGATGCTACGGTTTTATAGTTGGAGGGAGTGGTTGCTGGGAAAGTGGCGGTGGCCGGTGTGTTGTTTAGTCTAGGCTGAGACACGGAAGCGGAGGCAAGGACATGCGTAAAAAATACGGCCCAATTTAGCGGTAGTGCAATCAGTTTTAAACAGAACCGAAAACAAAAGAAAGTTTCAACATTGGTACCGTGCGTGTCAGTGGTGGCTAGTGTGAAATATCCACTGTCACATCAGCCTCTAAAAACCAAGAACATTTAGGTGCTCACAAGCAAATTAACGTGTAAAACGGCTTCGTCCAGCTCCAATTTCGGTGCCATCGACAACTACTACATCAGCTAAACATTAAATCCGGTAGATCTTTGAAAGTAGTCAACAGAAAATAATTGGAAGCACTAGAGTTAAACTAACTTTACGGGCAGTGGGCGGTCGACCAATGGGCGTTGCGAGTTTGGCGTTGTTGTTGGGGGTCGGCGGACACGCGATCTTGGACGCTGATTGGTTCCTGTCGGAGATACCTTTAGTCCGAACTGGCCTGGAGCTGCTGGGTGTGGATAGGCCAGGCGCGGGGGGACGCGACGCGACCTGGGTCAATGGCCGACCTTTTGGGATGGGCGCGACCTTTGCAAGACCCGGTCTATGTGGCTAAAAACAAGGAATCAATATTTTGCCATGGGCTCATAAAGCCGTGTTTGTCTCGAGTAGGTAGGTTCATTGAATTGCTGTTTAGGAACTCAGTGATCGCACTACGGGCGTGTTCTGGTAACTCACAGAAGGCGACTGCGTGGGTACTCTCGACGTTGCCCGCAGTGAAGGTCGAGGTTTCTTGGCCGGGGGCGGTCCAGCACGAGGTGGTGAACGTGCCGCTGACGTGTCCTTGGGGATGAGCCTAAACCAAACAGGAAATTTACAAGGGAAAGAACCATGGCTGACGGGACAACGGACTCGCCTATTTGCTGTCCCCGTGATGCCAGGAAAAGCAAAACCCTTCAAGCGAGATCAACACAACAAAAGCCTGCAAAGCGTGGAACTGCCCTGTGTAAGAAGCAGTCACTAGTGCGTAAAGCAATGACCAATTAACACGTCGAAACCCTCTACACACCAAGTCAGTCATCAATGGCTATGAGCTCCTTGGACGGACATTTGTGCTTACTAGAATAGCACATTCTTCTTGGTTGTAGTTGAACATCAGCGGTAATGAACTACTCATATTTTCGCTACATCACGGCAGTTTTAGTGGACTCAAATGCGTGGAGGCAATGAGACTGGCAGCCTGAGGATTTGTGTGGTGTAGGAAGAGACTGGAAACAACGATTGACAGGAGACACGACTTCAGATTACCACACCAATAGCCAAGTTAGAAAAAATGGTTTTCCAAAAACGCCACCTCATGAACCACAAGCGAACAGGTCAAAATCCAGAGGTGAAGTAGAATATCGTACTCAAAATTTATCCTGTCTGGCGACACGTAGCAAAATCAAAATTTAGCTGCTTTCAACTACTTCCAACTGCCTCTTCCAGAAGGGCTGTTATTCACTACACGCTGCATATCTGAGCCATGCGCTATACCTTCATTAGTCCCGCACAATGCTTTCACAAACTGACGCGTCAAGGTCTTGAACGTATTTTTATTGGGCTAAGGAGTGCGCTGCTTGTCAGCCCCAGGTAAACAAAACTCGACATGTGGCATTACAACAGCAGTTTGACAATACAAGTCAGCCCTCTAAAATTCGCAGTCGAAATAATTGAGGGTTCCGTGAATGCAGAGTTTATATTCACGTGAATGCTTACACCTTGTCCAGTATGTAACTCAACGTAACAGATTACATGGTACGAGAACTATACAGATTACTTATTTCCTGTTGTTGGGCCAGTCCCGCCACAAGTAGCAAATTCAGACACATCTAACAGAGTTCTGTCACGTAAGCGCAAAAGCATCCGTGGTACAAGCAACATGACACCGGCTGGCTGTAAAGAGTTCAAGACTAGTGCCATTCTACGTCGTGATGGCGGTGAGCTAAGTAAAGCAAGGAGCACAAACTACTCACTGAGCCTGTTTCTCGGGATTCAATCCTGGCCTCCCGGGCTCGGCCTGATCAGCCTCCCTTCTGGCCTCTTCCACGTACTGTTGGACAGGGACACCAAAAACAAGAAAGCCCTCGTCCTTATCGGCTGCCACGAATAACTGCTTTTCGAGGTTGGGAAGAATACGCTCCTTAACAGACGCAGCTTCCTTCTCCAGTCTTAGAAACAGTGAACTTCGCCTCAGGCGCATCTTAGGGTCGTTGATTTGACTCTATACGAAGGGAAACAGATCTGTTCAGAACTTCAGCATGCGATGCTGAACAACACCAAGTCTCAATACCAGTGAGTTATTTCGCTATGAACATTCAAAAAATTTCAGGCGTTAACTGAGAGAGGAGATAATTGCTTGAAGCAAGCTATGCCTTAAGTCAAACATATCCAAGTCAACCACGATTGCTTTGATTACAATTACAAGCACACTTGTTAGAGGTAAGACTAATGGAATGGCACCGCATACCGTCCCGATCAGGACTAAATTCAGTAAGTCACTATGCTAGTCATAGAAAAAGTTCTCTCATCGCGTACAAAAAAATTCTCGATACTAACCGATATTTGACTTAGGTTTTAAGTTGGCATAGAGCGGAGTGTGAAATCGGGATTAGAGTCAAACAACTTCTGGAGTTAAATTAGAATAAACGATGTCACCTATAACTGCTTGAAACTGTAACAAATTCAAAATTGAAGGCATTCAGGTTACAAATCATATGCAATAAGTTATCTAGGGTGAGACGACAACACAAAACATGGAATGGCCCAGAAAAAACGCCAACTTATTATTTGTGAGTTTTTAGGTAAGAAGGTAAATAATCAAAAAAGGCTTATGCGCAGAAGATTAAGCGCACTTCAATATGCAGTAGTCGGGCGAAAGACGCACGCCAGGAAAAGAAAGCAGCCATCACATCAGTATGAAGGGTGCGATAGTCCTGCCACTTTGCAATTTGTTCTTCGATATGATCGAGGTAATCACTGCTAAGAGAAATATCCGCAGGCTGCTTAGGATAACGCTCTCGGATCTTGTAATCAACCAAGCACTCATCGAACAGCTTATGGAGTTCAGATAGGCGGGAAATGAATATTGCCTTCACCGAATTTTCATGTTCCGCGTCGCTATGAAGATAGGCATTCCTAAACTGGACAAAAAAGGCTTTATGCAGCACAGGGCTCAAATATGACAGTAAATATCCAAAAGCAACAACAAGCTTACAGCCGCGACGCGTTCGGCCACGGTTTGATTGTCCGAGTTTTTTGTGACGAGTGACTCGCCAGACTTAGCCGTCCCATCTTTATGGGCAGAAAAGTTCTTATCACCGCAGTCCGAGTCAGGTGGATTAGGTAATACGCGATTAAGTGGAATGGAAGATGACGAAGTTCTTACATCTCCGACATATGCGTGTTGACCACTCGACTTGATAGAATTCCGCGCCTAAGGATAGGTAAAAGTTGCAATGTGTATTTACCACTCTTTGACGTAACTCGCTTATTTCGTTTTCAATCACCTGTAACAGACTGAGAGAGGGGGCAGTTTCGTAGGTGTATCCCCTTACAGATTCGCCTAATTGCTTTCCGAGGCGTTGTTGTTCTTCAATCAAGGCATTAAAACAGTCAATGCGATTTGATAGTGTGGTAGAGAGGAGCATGCTCATTTCCGAAAGCTGTCGCTCACGTTCAACAAGTGGCAAATGTCGTTCTACAGGCTGGTGCTTAACATTAAGAATCGTTTCGAGTCTACAGACGTCCGCCTTTTAAAAATAATTTAGTGGACTTAAACGTGAATACAAACCTCAGATTTATTAACAGCTGCACGCAGAGCAGCCACTGAATTCTTTTCCTCAGAAGCCATATTATCCAACAACTCAATAATATGCCCCTTAAGTATTTCCTTGCGTTGTTTGTAGTTTTTATCCTCAAGGCCAATCTCATCCCAAATTCCAAGTATATCACGGACTTTCCCACTTACAATGGAAGAGAGTTGTTCGATCCATTGGTCATTTTTAAGGTTATTTTGGTTTTTTTGACAAATGAAAGGGGATCTGTGACATAAAGTCATTGAGAGAAAGCGACCACGTCCGCCAGTCAGCTAAGACAAGCCAATATTAATAAGGGCGCCAAACACCAACGGACCATATTTCTGAGTATTGAAACATTCCCATTATTCTACAGTGACGAGTAGGTTTCCACAAAATAAATTAAAAGCTAACGTTTATTTGAAATTTATTTTGAGATCATCATCTTATAAATGAATGTTATGAAAAATATTTAATGTAGTGATGATTCTTCCAGTACAAAATGGTAACGAAAAAGAACTCAATGTAATGAACGAAAGCTAATATCCTACTCATTTGCATATTCACAAAAGTAAAAAAATGTTATTTTGTTTCGAAAGACAGTTAATTAGTAAAGGCCTTTGATAAGAATTTGCTTTATGCTTACTCTGAAACCAATCAATTATACAGGAACCCATCAATCAAAATTGTTGATTAAAGGTCAGCCTAAGACTAACTCCACCATTTTTATTTGCTCTGGCTATTTCTATTTCAGACATTTTTAGCCTTTGCCTGCACTTCTTTTTTTAGTTTGGCAATGCGACCTAAACAACGCCTTATATGAACATTCAACTTTACTTAAGTTGATGCATTAAACACCTTAACTTAAGCCTCATCATTGCCGAGCTTTACTTTTGACTATCACTACATGTGATAAGATAGTTTGGATGCTGGAGCATCTATGACTCATGTTGTTTCCCAATTCGGGGCAATAAATACGCTTGCTCAAACGTCTTACAGGACACAAAGACAACCACTTATTTCACCGATCTAGTAAACGGTTATTCTTGCAAAATGTGGGTGCTAAGGATTTCAATATTCACAACGACCAGTACCTTAAAACAGCGAGTTTTCGCGTCTTTTTACTAAAGTTCGATTCACTGTCACTTTGATCTCTCGATCACCACAATAGCCCATCGCTTAGTGTTATTCCCTCAACTCTAAGATCTCCGATCGATGAAACATATATAAGTAGGCGCATATGATAAATCACATTTTCCAGGTAATAAAATTGTCTTTGCTGCCATGAAATTTTGGATAGTTTAAATACATCATAAGCAAATACAAATTTAAATCCAATGTCAATTACTAATCTTCATAATCCACCTTTCATAATTTACAAAAAAAGCCTCACAAGATATAATTGCCGAACACCATCACAATTTAAGTTATGTTAACAATAAAATACCTACAAATTAAAACGAAATTCTTTAATTATATTCTGAAGTGTTTGGACATCTTTGTTACTGTTTCAGTAAGTTCAAGATAAAATCTGCTTTCGATGCTTCTGTTTTAAACTACGTTTACTAATCTTAACATCCCAGGTAGATATTTGAATGAACGAAAGCCACTTTGATTTATTTTATATGAAATTCATGCATCATTTTATAAACGGCCTTTGACATGTTATCCGAATTATTAATAAATTGAATATTTTGGTTTGCCTTCTCGCAGAGTATTGTAACAAATGTTAAGCTTTACAACTACTTAGTGAATTGTAAAACGCTTTAGAACCCTTAACACATTTCATTCTCTTATTAATGCAATTTAATTAGTATATCAGCCTTATGTTCACATAACAATAAAAAAACTCATGCACGAAATCATTCTGCCTTTAAAACTGTAAAAGTCAATGATGAAGACTTCTGTTTGTGGTCTTTAACCACGTCAGACTGATATCCAAGAAGACCAAGGCGTTGCAAATTCAATGGTTGTGCAGTATTAATGTGGTTATTGATCATTTCAATTTGGACTACATGTAAATCACTGAAGCATAAAGAAAGGAGCATGCGTATATTAGGGGCTTCGAGTGGCTCATGTTCAGAGGGTAGTGTGTTAAAAAACGCAAGGACTGGCTGAGTGAGCTTTATTTAACTTAAATCACGATATATATTTTAATTTACGCTAGACAACAAAAATAACTGTAAGCCGTGAGTCAAAGATGCCATTCAATAACAACTGACATCAAAATTACGCTAAACTTTTAAATCCAAATCCCGTCACACTCACCACTCCTCACATTTGTTTCCTGGTAACCCTTTTTTGATGTACCCTATAAACCTGACCAACTAATCTGTTAATTGGTTTCACTTACTCATTCTATTTTACCTAAGTATCACTCTAATTGTTGTTTAAAATAAAGACCTCTGTTTCATGCATCTCCTAATTCATTAGGCGAACGTTCTAAGTCTTAGCCAAGATCTTATTTGTCACTGCCCATTCCAATTTCCTACCATACAATTTTAACGCCCAGATCGTAAGTTGCAACCTTAATGCAATTATTCCAGAACTTATATATTGTAAAAATTTTGCAAAATCACACTCAAAATCAACTGCTGTTAATTCGAACTTGGGAAATTCAAAAAAGGTTTTACTTAAAATTTGAATATAACTAGAAAGCCACTTTCAATCATTTATATGTACCGTTCTAGACGACCTTAAATAGTTAACCATCAAATGCACAAAAAAGTATACATCGAAAAATTTATAATTTAAATTTTAAAATCTTCGGACAGGGTGATTCCACTATTCTAGAACCGAGAATGTTTGAAAATATATACTTTATTATAGGGGCAAAAATGCGTACATGCAAGCGACTTAACATAAGATAATTTTTTGCTTTAGGCTTTAATAATAGATGCATAATGTTGAAAGATTATCAATTACGAAAGTACTTTTTTGATTAACGCTTAAGGTCTGTTTTTCCACTAGTGAATTCTAATATTTAACTATTAATAAGGCTGACAAAAAAGATTGATATGAAAATTTAAGTACATTTTTGCTTGCTAATATCTAGTTTAAAAAACGTTTAAACAATAAACATTACAATTTTATGCCCAAGGTGGCAAAACTTTAAGTACGTCCATTGACTCCTGTTTCGGCCTTGGGGGCCCTGTGCTCGCTTTAGAACGCCTCGTTGCCTTCAGGAATTGTTGCAGAAACAAAAGATAAATGAAGAGAATGGCAGAAAGTCGAAATCAGCTACCGTGGTAGAAGAAATTTAAGAAAAGAAGTTTGCAGACCGTAAGATTTTGAGCATAATTATCAATTTTCATACCTCTTCGGACGAAAAGTTCTTGCAAACTAAGAGGTAGAAGGTTTGGCCTAAAATTTAAAATGTATATTATTTATTTAATTTAGACTGAAAAATCGCGTGCTAATTTTATGTAGCTTTCTCACGACAACATTATCCCTATCTAATTCAAACCATGGTTGATATTTTAAGTTACCATACTGTAATACCGTTAATCCAACTTTCTCTTTGATGTCATAACTATTGACTTTTAAAGCAATATCAAGCCATTAACAAAAGGATTTCTTTCTTTTGGCTCTTTACTGCTACTGGAACTAATTACCTATTTTAAGCAAGAGGAATTTCATCAAAATCGAATTAAAATTATTTCAAATGTTTTGTTTATTCGTAGAGAAAATACTGGCTATTTTCAGCTTTGTTGCATTTTGCATGGGCAATTATTCGTTTTCTTAATTTGCACTCATGTAAAAAGCATTCCAAAACCTCTTAAAATGCACATTAGTTTTTGTAATAGATTATTTGACGTTTATAGACCTTCAATTTTAAGCATGGATACTCGACCTCCACAGATACGATGTACACCTCAAATGTTACAATTTTTAATGGAACTCCGTGGAAACGAGGCTGCAAAGTTTATCGAAACGGAATTCAGTGGATGTTCCGGTTTTTCAAAATCGCTCTCCAGTTCCCCAAATACTGGTGTGATTGCCCTATAATTAAATTTGTATACTAATTTATTTATTCCTTCATATTAAAGCTATTCGTTATTAATCATAAATTACATTTGTCTGTCCTGCTTCTATGGAGTTGAAAGGCAAAGTTAAATTTTGTGAAAATCAGAAGTATAGTATAATATAACGAGCTTTAAAAAGGGGACAATATAGGGCGATGCCAATTTCCCAAATTCATATTTTTAGCAGACACGTGAACGTTAAAAACCATGTTGAGCGTTTTATGTATTGTCCCTTATGTGAGCTTTAAATATTCTGTGCTTTGAAGACAAATATGACGTAGCAAACGAAAATAGATAAATTTGCAACCACAGTAAATAAATGTAATGTTTTAATGTCGTTAGTGGGTGTCTCTTCCAATACTAATTTTTAATCTAGGATTAAACGAATCTGATGTGGAAACCCAGCGGCAAAAGTATGGAGCCAACGTTATTCCCCAAAAGCCTCCAAAGTCGATTTTTCAGCTGGTTTGGGAGGCCTTACAGGATCTAACACTGCTTGTCCTCATCGCTGCTGCCCTAACCTCCCTAGGGCTCTCCCTTTATATTAAGTGTAAGTTTGAGTTGCGCTTGACAGAATAATAACTATACTGACTCTGTAGGACCAAGGAAATCTTTAGTTTCCCTGGAGTTTATGCTTAATGTGCGGAGCTGCTGCTCCTGATTTATTCATCTGATGTTGAAAATGATCGTACTGCTGACAAAATTAGGGGTTATCACTTAAACCTATTAACTTGTGTTCAGTGCTGTGATAACAAACAATTCTAATGATGCAGTCATTCGTGCTCATGACGACACTGGTTATTATCGTCAAATTAACAAGATTTTTAAGAGTTGATCTTGCAAACTTGTAGATTGCCAGTTATACACGAATTTGTATTTAACATGTCTTAGTTAATTCGGGGTTAAGCTACGATGGATCTTCGGAAAACGAGACTGGTTGGATTGAAGGCGTCGCCATTCTCGTGGCTGTCGTGGTTGTGGTTGTCGTTGTGGCTTTCAACGACTGGCAGAAGGAGAGACAGTTTCGTGGACTGCAGAGTCGGATCGAGGCTGAGCAGAAATTCACCGTCCTTCGAAGTGGAAGGATCAAGGAAATTTCCATCTCGGATATTGTGGTCGGTGATGTCTGTCTAATAAAATATGGTAAGCGTTCTACGAATACCAATTTCGTTGGCAAATTTTCAACCTCTTGACCAACGCGGAAATTTTCATACTGACCTTCAGATCAGTTATTTCTTGAGCCATACACAAGGTATTTATAGGACAATAAATGGAATTAGGCCATGAAAATTGAATGCTGCAAATTCTAGTGAGCCCAACAAAAATTTAAACATCAGCCAATGACAGTTTATTTCATAAAAATAAATTTAATTTCCGTCCTCTCGAAACCAGTTACTAGAGCCAGAATTTACAGGCGAATCGGTTTTGCAAAAAAATACTCCCTACTTATTCCATAGGATTTTCATAAAACCAAACTTATCAAAATTTCCTATTGACAAGCACTTGATTTTTTTAAATTTCTGTGACTAAGTTTTTTGTGGAATGCAAAGTCTGTTTTTTTTGTAAATTATTTAACAGAGCATTGATTGGACGGTAGAGGTGTATTATTTAAGTTCATATTTTATAACGCATTCTTAGGGTCATTGGTAGATTATGAAAATTCGACTTGTTTTAATCAATGCAGCCAATGAATTTTTAGCCCAGGTACAATTCGCCTCTCTATATCCGATCATTCATGGCCGAAAAATGTTTCCGCAAATCACTGTTTTAATTGGAATTACTAAAAAATAACAAGCTTTTACATAAACCGAATTCGGTTGATAATTTCAGCGCCCACTTGGTCAAGAGGGCATTTGTGTCCGTGGCGTTTGCAAGCTCTATGCGGGTCAACTTTCGTATTGTAAAATTCCCCAAGATAGGACATTTTATGACTTCTTGCAGTTGTTCTTTCGAATGCAGGAAGTGCTGAAAACATTTTTTTTCTAATGCTTGTAGGGACCTGATAAGCGTCGGTAAAAATATTTTCTAGCTGTAAAACAATTTCTGCCTCTGTGAATTTTTTGTTTCTTTCTTTGGATGGAAATCTTTGACATTTTTAACCACTTTTAAAAAAAATGTTTGCAATTCATAATGCAAGATATCTTTGAGAAAGCATGTTCTTTTACTCTTGTTTAGGATAGCAAATGTATTCACTGCTTAGTTAAGCTCTCATTCCTTATAAATCATTCTAGCATCTCTTCAAAAACGTTACCTGCATTTATTGGAGATATCATTTCATCGAAATTTCTGTTTTACCAATTTTCGTGGCAAAATTGGATAAGATAAGCAAGTAAAGTCCTGCCAAATGGCAAATTTTGTCGACTAGATAGTGCCTGCTTGTGGATCCTCCTGATTTTGGTGTGGTTGGAGTGACTGTGTTGGCAGAACCATCAGTCCGGTTGTGAGCTTTTAAATAAAAAAGAGCTTTGTTAAAATCCTGGAGTGATAATAAAACCACCCCTTAAGCACTAAAAGTGCAGAAAGAGTGCTCCAGGCGAGATGTTGACAAATGGATAAGTGGGTCATCGGACACAACTAGAGCTCCATAGTTTCATGAAGTGGAAAACCTACGACGTGGCGTGCCACAGTGATCAAGTGAAACATGGGTGATTTACCACTGGACAAAGCTATGCAACCTTTTCAGTCAAGCCTGTGTTAATGTTAACTATCCAGAAGACTAGACATTTCAATTGCCAGTCGTGTGGAGTTCGTAAAAAATCTCCGGGAAGGAAGACACACAGAAGGTCAGGGTTCCGCAATAATCTACAAGGCGGTTTTCCACGAGAAAAGCTGATTTAACCTCCTTTTAATTGAAAACGTTGCTTCAGTTTCAACTATGACGCACAGAAATGCCCTTTTGTAAGGGTTTTTCAGTCCACGAACTACGCCGCTTGTTGCTCATTACAAAACGATTTGCACAAAGCATCTCAGGTCACCTGCGATATATACATGTTGATTCGGCAAGTACGTTAGTGGTTGTGATTCTGTAGAATATATTTGGATGAAAATCTTAAAACCTTTTAAAATTCCGGTTTTTGACGGATGTTGATTACACCTCTATGGATTTATTTGTGCTAAAATGATGGTCCGGCGTGCATTTTTCACCCATAATTACGCTTAGACGCAGGAAACGTCTCTTCAATCTGACTGTTGTAGGGGATCTCTTGCCAGCAGACGGAATTTTACTTCAATCGAGTGACTTGCGAATTGACGAGAGCTCGCTCACTGGCGAGTCGGATCACGTGAACAAGAGTTGTCATTCTGACCCCATTCTTTTGTCCGGTAAGTCGTCGGCTTCCCGTCGTCCCAATTGTCTATTTTTAGTCGGCTGACTGGTGCACACAGACTTCGTCAGCTGTGGCACTGGCTGAGGCAAAACCCCTCACACAAAACCCTGGCATTTAACAGTTCCTGTACAGCACCCGAACTTTTTTACCGCCTGTAGATTGTGTGGTAGGAGTGGGTTTCATCGCAATCCAAACACAGAATTGCCTTTACTGCCACAGTAAGCCAAATTAGGCAACGCTAAGCGGCCAGCTACACCAGTGGTGCTTGCCTTGTAGTTTTTACAGGTGTTCTGCCCCGCAAGAACCCAGCAGGAGAAAGGGTGCCAATTTGCAAAGCCTTAGGAAAAGCACATGAAACTGGTGTAGATCAGAACCAACTTTTACTTAACTGGTCGATAAAACCCAATTTTTTGACCAACTGTGGTGGATAGCCTAGTGATCGCGGTAATTTCTAATCCTTTTGTAGAATTTTTGCCTTTCTATTGACTTTTTGATGCGACTACAACTAGGTGCTGATGGTCTCAATAAATTAAAATGTACAACATACCACTTTCAACCAATGGCTTTTCCCACAAATTAACCCGTCACATGTAACCGAAAAGAAAATACCACAACAATGGCACTTAGGTAGTTTTATTAGATCCGCCTTATCCTTGAAAAATTCTGTATAATTTTTGAGGAATCACTTTAACCAGGCATTTTTGTCCTTTTAGCCTATCAACTAATTTCAGCTTAAATCCCATTTGTGTAAATTTCGATTGTAGCCAATTAAAATCACTAAAAATGTGGTTACTTTACATCTTAGTTTGAGGTGCTGGTCTTTTATCAGCTGTGCGGTGTTTACACAACATAATGCGTTGGTGTATTTTTCTCCAGGGTAGTTTACCGGTCTCAGTGGCAGAAATAAGGCAATATACTACTTACATTCGATTGCCTTTTCTAGAAAGTAACTAATTAAAGTTAACGGGAAGCCACGGGAACTGGAGCCCTCCCCCTCTTTCTTGACTAATCTATCAGAATTCCCGTATTTGTCTTTTTCACACTTGCGTGTTAACTTCTAAAGGTGTCACTTGACTTTTGACATTCTGATCTTCAGTCAGTGAATTTCAGAGCAAGATGCAGGTTTGCAAATATTGTTTGTAGCCAATCAGGTGGGTGCTGTGGCAATGTCCATTTCCTGACACAAATTTTCTCTGATTTTAGCCGTAGTCGGGCTCACGAACAGAGGCCTAATTTAGTTGAAATTAAAGCATCTTTGAGCACATAATTGATTTCATGCGGGTCGAAACGTCGGCTAGACCACGGAACACACACGCTTGCTCCCACGAAGTCAGATAACAATTGACAAGTGTGCGAATTATTACAACCATGTCCAAATTACTATCTCAGCAGTTCCCTTGTGAGTGATCCGTTTTTCATGAGCTAAAAATTGAAACCCCCTCTGTTTGGCACGTCAAAGGCTTCCCAGAATGAGTGAAGACTCGAGCTAGGACGGAAGGCTTTAGTGCCCGAACCGAGGGTTCTCGTACAAGATAGGGCCAAGGCGGAAACGTCGAGGCAGAAATTCGATAGGTGTTCAGATGAGTCTACTTATAAATGATTTGAGTACCCAACACTGATCGATAAGTTGTTGCAATCAAGTGAACAGAATCTGAGCGGATGAATATCAATCATCACAGTGTTAATTCAATTGTAAAACACAGGTAGGATCTAATTGTATGAAAATGCCTTTGCGGACACAGTGACATACTTCGCGTTGGTGATTGCATTGTTGCATTTGGGCCGAAAGTGCTAATTTTTGTTTTGGGTGTCCAAAACTTCTAGCAGCAGATAAAAACTACTCATTTTCTCCGGTCGTTTATCTGAATTACCACAACCTGTAGCGTTAGAGATGTGGCACGCACATAAGGTTGCACGCTGAACTGTCAAGAATCGTGATGATGTTGAATAGTTCTTAATCTGCAGGCACTCACGTGATGGAGGGATCAGGTCGAATGCTGGTAACGGCCGTTGGAAAGAACTCCCAGGCTGGAATTATCTACTCCCTCCTCAACAATATGCACGGTGAACTACCTGAAACCGCAACTGGACTGAACCCTGTCGACAACACCACAAGTACGTTGTGTTTCGCTGACTTGATCTACCTCACTACGGTATCTACTAACAAGCGATGCGTAGAGTATGTTAATTAAATTAAATTTACAAATTTCAGTAAAATGCTACTGGTTTAAGTTCGACTTTGCATGGATTTCGTCTACTAGACAGCCAAAACTTATATGGTCGCGGGATAGATTCCCATTACTGCAATCTATTTTCTTAAAAAAACATGCACTTTTTTCGATATTAATTAAACGCGTTTCACAGTTTGGCAGTTTAAACCCTCTTGTAAATATGCAAACCCTCAAAAATCACGACATATAATTGTAATAACATCACATTTAGTGTAGATTTCAAGACAATTTTTAAACCGGATCTAGTTGCACCAGTGAACGGTAGCCTGACATATCAATGACAGCAATCGAACGATGATATCAGGCTCATAAAATGACTTCTGCAGCCAGTTTTAAATGACAATCAAATCTGCTCTGGTCTGAGAGTTATACAGAGAAACCAGGTGCTTAAAGTGTGTTTAATTAGGAACAGAGGAACGATGATTCTATATTAAAATACTTGAGCAAAGTGTCACAAGACTTGACGGCTTCTTGAAATGGTTTTCCAAAATTTTATCGATGCCAGTAAGTGCCTGATTCCACCGCGTCCCAGTGTGCATCTCACTTCAACGCAAGTAGGATTATGTGTGAGTCCAAACAAGTCGCAACCGAATTTTGCCAATCACTAACTACTTTGATTTAATTTCCTGATCGAGTACTCTATGGCTTGAACCTGCGTCTTAGGTCATGACTTAACAATTTTGTAAGTTTTGTTACAAGCGGTATCTTAAACTTGGCGTGAAAGGTAACATGGTAAAATCGCATAACCGTGACCGAAGTCAAACCATTCACCTTAATACACCAAGTACACGTTGATTTAGTGAAGACAAATCTTGATTTTTTTTTTAAAAAAATTGCTGGGGATATTTACTTCTACATATTTAATTCTTAGTTTGTTGCAAATGACGAATGATTATGCCTAGTTATCTGAGCAACTTCGGTTATCAACTTCGTAAAAACACTGCAGTTCAATAAACAGTAATCGATTTTCTGCTTTATTGAAAAATGCGCGAAACGATTGGTCGTTTAATTAAAACACTTGCTGCATGGCATTTACTGGTTTGTACAAAAGCGTGCTGGTGGCTTGTAGCATGGAAGATCCTTTTAACTAAAATGAATCGTGAAACCAGAACTGACAAGGAATGCAAATCTAACTGAATATTTGCTAATTACCAGTTGTCTGGTTTGGTTTTTAGATAAACTGGAGACAATAGTAGAAAAGATGTCCGAGGACGACTTGAAAGGTAAGATTACATCAAGTACATTCAAAGCACTAATCGACAGAGTATGACACTCTATCCGAAGCACCGTCTACGGCCTACGCTCCCACAAGCAAACGAAGCAAGACGAAGCTGCGAACTCGACAGATGTCCGTCCTGCAGCTGAAGCTGGCCAAACTCGCCATTCAGATTGGCTACATCGGTAGACCTGCTCATGTGTGTGTGCGCTAACACCCCGTGTTTAGGTACACTTCTAGCCGTAGTGACGGTGGTGATTCTGGTCGTCAAGTTCTGTGTCATCGAGTTCGCCGAGAAACAGGAGTCGTGGGAAACGGGGCGTCACCTGAAGCAGCTCATCCAATTCTTCATCATTGGCGTTACCATCCTTGTGGTCGCCGTGCCCGAAGGACTTCCGCTCGCTGTCACTCTGTCGCTGGCCTACTCTGTCAAGGAAATGATGAAGGCAAGTCGTCCGATTTTAGATGAATCTGCTGCCAAAATGAGCAGACTGTAAACGACCAAACCTACTACAACTCTTTCTGGTGTGATTTAAATTTTTGGGCTTAAAATTAACAGGGTTTGCAAATTGTTGATTTTTACCAATGCACATGCGAAGGCCATTCCAAAATGCAATAATATTGCGAAACAGCCTGGTCCCCAGTCTCACTCATCACAATTCCACACGTTACCTGCACACAATTTTGTGCAATGTCCTGGGAAAAAACTGATATTGCTAATGTAAGCATCAGAGGATTCGTTAATGCATAGTAATTGTGGGATCGTTGATCATCTATCTGTCCTGTGTCACCCGATGTCAGGTCTTTAACTCGTTTTATAAGGTGTCTGTCATATTAACGCTAATAACAACCTTTGACATTTGATTTGTTACAAGTAGTAGCCGAACTATGGAAAAGCGTAGGCTCACTATTTTACAGGTAAGAACTCCGTTTTTACATTCATCTAAGAGTTAAGCTGACGTCAGCGTCAAAAAATTTACGATTAAATTCGGCAAATTTGGAACCCAACGGTATTTCCAAGTTCAATGCCAATATTAGTATTTAAACAATTGTAATGACTGCAAGATCATAAAGGGTGAAAAAAGTCGCGTGTCTAGCAAATGAAAGATTATTTGCTGAAGGTGTTTCCGCACTTTAATCTATGGTCCTAGGCCACCTTTAGGAGCTTCCATCATCAGGGATAATGTAAAGTTGTTTTTGTAGAGTGCTTTTTTATTGATAAACTAATCTCCTCTCTGCTACACTGGGATTGAAACAAAATTAGGCGTTGGGGATTGAAATTTTGCTTGTAGATTAAATATTCTCCTGATGTGTTCTTAATTTTAACGGAGAATTGTCACACAGAGGACCAGTTTAAGCATTTCGCCAACTCCAAGACTCTGAAATCGCCCACTAATTGTTTCACAAAGTTGGAAGATCGAACACTGCGTCTTAGGAACAAGTTGGCTAGTGTCTTCTTTGCAGGAATGCATTAGATTATGCTCAAGGTTGACGGGAGTTATCGAAAACAATGCTTGGGAATTGAACCTAAATATCGGTAGTGTAGTTTAATATGCTGTCAATTAATATGAGCCAATCGAAAGCGATAGGGGTGTTTGAAGTATCTGTTCTGTAAAAGATTATGACGATAATTAGCCCTTTGTGTTTCCGGTGTAAGCTACTGCCAACCATTGTCATCTGAAGGGTGTTTGAACAAAGTGTAGCTAAGTCATCTCGATTTGAGGCGATTTTGGTGAAAATTTGAAACAGAGATACCAACTTCGTTTCATAGCAACTTTGCGATTACAAATGCAAGGCCCAAGACTACTGTGGGTCCCTGCTCTGCATCAGAGTTTCCAGTTTCGTCTCTTTGTAGGATAGAAAAAGGCAGAAATGATAAATATCTGCACAAGGTACTCCTACATCAGAAAAGTGTTTCAATCTGCAGATTGCCATGTTTAGAAAATACTTCCTAATCATCCAATAAGGTTACAAGAACCTGCAGCAGATGCACACGCTCAGATGGCGAGCACACAATACCGACGACAAGGTTGTGTGCGGCGAGGTCATTGGGAGGTGACCAGTGTCTGATTTAGTCGCTTAAATATGCATCGACAATCCTGACTCAGTGAATTATGACTGGTTAACGCTGAGTGAGGAGTTATCATTGGGAACACTGAAAGGTTGTGACTGTGTAAACTGAGATATTGTTAGTAGCATGATCGTTTTGATCAGAGGAGAGCATACAAACGTCAGAAACCATTGTTTAATGAATTAAGTCGTTCTGATGCATGATGGCTTCTCTGGCAACCTGGAACTACGATTTTAATCCAAAAGACAGTCTTGCTAAGCTTAACCTCTGTTTGCATGTGGACAAAAAAACCACGGAATTACTGGAGTTTGTGAAGGCTTAAAATTGTCAGTTGAAGTTGTGTTGATAGGTAGATAAGATAAATTTTCAATTATGCCGAGGGCCCGCCACAGCATCTCTCTTCCTGTCTCGAGTTTTTTGCTGGTGCTTCACTGCTCCGTCACTTGAGTCTTTCTACTCTTTCTCATATTTACTTAAGAAAATTTTACAAGTCGGTTTCAGCAGTGGTCATAGATATTAATTTGCGTGCAATTCCCAAATGATGTCGAAATGAATAAAAATATAATCCCTTCTTCAGAAAGTAGGATTTGACCGAGGGCGACTGGAATTTTCACTGGTTCGGATACTAAAGTCGTGCAGATTCTAACTTTCATTGCTCTTCCACTCGTTAATCGAACACAAACACAGACAAGTCTGACAGTGTCTGACGCGTGCGATGTGTGTCATGCGTTTCGACTTCAAAAGATTCATTTCATTACATAATGTAAAGCGATTTTTCCAAGTATAGTACTGATTGTACATCTCAAATCAATCGTGTTCAAAACGCTAAACACTATTTCCGGGGGTCGTTCGTCAATAACTTTGCCTCATTTACGTGCAGTAAGCAAAGAATATGGAACAAAAAAAACCGTTTAAATCAATACACATATTTGACATGGACCACTTGTTACCAAATTTTGGTTCTGCGTTCATGATATTTCTTTTGGATGATTGTAAACAACTACAGCATAAACGACTGTGGATCTACGCATTGGAATCGAAGAACAGCAATGGCAGATTTCCATAACTGTTATCGTAAACAATAAATATTACAGTGATAAGTAGAGTAAACCGTAAATATACACAGCAAATTCAGTCACACCACGATTGGAGACTTTGAATAGTGTTACATCAAAACCAGTGTAGTAAAACAGAAGGTGCAAATTGAAATTCCGCGACAAATGTAATAAAGATATTATTCGCAGGGCTTCTGGAAATGGAAATCAGTGAGTTATGCTGGGATTGCCATCTCTTTATTTTTGACCAAAGTTGTAAAACGTTTTATTTTGAGACAGAGACAACTCTTGAATACTTCTGAGAAATTGTGTGTTGGCAACAACAACGATCTAATTAGTCACCTTTTATTATTACTTAAACACGTTACTATCACCGCTACGCCAGATTTAATGGACCACAAGTCCGTGTTTTCAGTGCTACATGAATCTCTAGTCAGTCCTAAGTCAACATTCTTTGAAAAAGCCAGGAATGAGTGAAACTTGGGTGTTTTTGGGATTCAATTTGCTCAATTAAACGTTAATTTTCCTTCCAGCAACCCGTTGTGTTAATGCAACAGAAGGTACATTTTGGTGATCGTAAAACTGCGTCTTGGCTGATTTCGCTTCAGTGATGCGACCTAAAGGTGATCAGAATAAAATGAGGAAGGAAAAAGGGCTAAGTAACTTAGAACAATGTTGCGATGCCACATCAATTCAAAAACATTAGTTTGATTGACACTTTTCATTCCCAGACGATGGTAATTACTATCTTATTTGTTTGGCTAGAAGGCATGCCTTTAAAACCTGTGATAAAACTGATAAAATCTTTTCTTAACCGCGATGAAGAAGCGGTCACAACACCCACACATCGGTCGAGGAATTAATTAATGGGCCACAAAAGGTTGTCGTCTGTCTGAAATTTGACTTGAAATTAGTTGATTTGATGAATTGAATTAAATTACATCCCTAGATTCAGTACTGGTTCCGCAAATGATACTTCACTGTTATGACAGCCCATGCTGCCTCCTTCATGTTTATCATCCCAACGTCGTTGCGTAGGACGCTGTCTGGTGCACTGACAACCACAAACAGTTATTGTTAATTTTAGTAAATGCATAAAATCCACGCTCATCGCTACTCGGGGAAGTGGTGAATATTTTATAAATAAAAAAGTAAATAAACACAAAGAAATTAACCATGTGTTGTACTTTGGGCATGATAGGTAAAAATAGGGCTGTCAGAACATAATATTTGTGCTGAGAGCAAACTTGAGTGCGTCCAGAATGTTTGTGCTTTTACATGAGCTATTATCACTACCCTTGTGGCATAGATCTGGAAGTCTTTGAATCGTTGGCATCTCCTAGAAAATCGATATCGTGAATCCCTTGATAGGAATCAATATTAGAGTTTGACTCCTTTGAAGAGCGTTTAAGCAAACCCAGGGATAACGTTGACAGCTCCTCTGTATTTCTGATAGAGTGGTTTTCAGTTGGCTATGCCATCTTCACGTTTCAAGCGGTATGATTCTTTGATCCCCCAATGCTAACCGGTGGTAAAACGGTTTGGCATGAAGTCCTTGGTTATATATTGTTAAATCCAGTTATCATGAAACGAAATTCATAAAGAACAGTGCATCGACTTCACTCTTCAGTACATTTAGAAGATCCATGTACAGAGTAGTAGCACACTAGATAAAATAGGCCTTCGCTCTTTCCAACACAGGAACTGATCGCCTTCGGGCAGGTTGCTGGAAACTCAGTATTTCAACATGGACTGTGTGTTGTAGCCGGGTTAGATGAGATGAGAGGAGGTCCGGATAACCATGTCGCCCGATTCTCTTGCGTTGGAAGCTCTCATCAAACTGTGGTCACGGCCGCATGGTTTTTGCTCGAATGGTGATTTAAAGGATTTGGATAAAGTGAATAAATTTATAATTTGCGATGGGCAAATCATTCTGCTAACAGTCTTTGCTCCTCAAGCAACTGATTTCGCACTTTTCTGAATGTCTGTCAGTGATTTTAAAAATAAATGCGCGATGGTTTCCTGGTTTCCTGTTGATTTTGCTGCATCCAGAGCCAATGTTTTGCATTAGCTATACGTCCGTGGTCAAAATACTTGAGTGTTTCAGGCCAATGTCGTCGATATGCATCAATAATCTCTGTAGAAACCTCCTGACTTCACATCTCACTGATCCAAGCGACTGTTTTGTGTGTTTGCTATGCTTAAACTCCATTCAGAGAGACCTAATAGCCAATTAATCAATTTACTCCTGGCGTTCATAAGGTACTCAGTCATTGTTAACACGTAGCCTTGGTCTGCGCCAACTTGAGCAACAAAAACAGCTTATTTTCAGTGAACTTGTTCAGAGAATTTCTCAACCCACTCATTATGCTTAACGTCATTGTTCTTGGTGCATTCCATCATGCCTAATTTCCCACATTCTAGCACTTTTTGAATGTGTTTATGTAGACTGCACAGAGCAGAGGAAACTGCCAACTGTCAGACCATATAATTGTTCAGTCATCTCAAAACTTGGGATAACAATTTTGGACATCCAATTTAGGACAACAATCTAGTTCGACATCTGGACGCATGCGAGACAATGGGGAATGCCACGACAATCTGCTCGGACAAGACGGGAACTCTAACAACCAATAGAATGACTGTGATTGAGGCGCACTTTGCAAATGCAGTCATCACCTTAGATAAGCTGGAACAACTCAAAGACGCCGGCCACCTTAGACTCGTCAGTGGTGTTGTGCTTCGAAAGCTCGAATTGGCTATCGCCATTAATTCGTCCTACACATCTCGTCTGCTGGTAAGTCAGCGTGAGCTGCAACAAGTTTTAAAAATTCGGGTTAATAGGACGAAAATCCCCTAAAAGTAACCTATTTATTGAATAAGTGGAACGCGTTTCCACGTCAACCTTCATCACGACTACTTTGGCAGGGATGTGACCACTTTAAAAGTCAAACTTATTTTGACAATTTCAAACAACTAGAAGGGTGTGTCACCTGTTCAAGTTGCAGCCGCTTGCCTTCGCATTTTGTGTCCAAATCTCAGCTTGCGGTGTACGTTTGCTGTTTTAATAAAATAGTCAGCACAAAGACGAAACCTGTTCCTCATTCAGAAGCATGTCATTCGGAGTAGGCTAGAAAAGATATTTGGCTTGAACACATAAAGGATTATTGTTTATTAACTGGGACGAATCTACCGAGATTCTCACAGAGTAAGGCGTTGCTGTATAAATAGGAAAATTAGTTTTCGTCCAGGTGCCGACATTCTGAATTTAGCTTAAATTATCGCCACGGTAACCAATTCGTAGTTTTGTGACATAGACGAGGTTTGTCAACTCTGCATAGCAGGAGGATGAAATTAGCAACAATCATTTCAGTATTCAATGGATATTTATATCACATTCCTTACTCAGCTACTCAAGCAAAGGTTCAAGAGTAGGTAATCCCTCGAATACTGTCCCAAATGTAGTTTAGTTTTCATGTTCTGCAAAGCCTTTCTCAATCGTGTGACTGCAGAATACTGAAGCACCTCTTGAGTTAGGTGCTCATTCAGCTACAACGATTCGATTTAATAGCGTGTTGTGAAGTTCGCTGATTTAAACTAGCTTTTTTGACCAAAAAGCCACGCGATTTCTTTGTCATTAGCCTCCCAAGGTACCAGGAGATATGCCCGTACAGGCGGGGAACAAGACGGAGTGTGCGCTTCTTGGACTGCTGCAACGCTTAGGTCGAGACTACGAGGAACTACGCAACTGCCACCCAGAGTCACAGTTCGTCAAGGTATACTCGTTTTCTTCGACGAGAAAATCGATGTCCACGATAATCAAGTCGCCCGACAACGACGACGAGGAGGCGACAGACGAGGAACGTGGTGGAACTAGAAGAACCACCACAAAACTCCTGCTACTCACCAAAGGGGCCGCCGAACTGATCATTTCAAAGTAAGAACGCCGTTTAATTTGCGTCATTAGCAGCCGACGGCACAGTCGAAAATTAATGCAACTGTTTTGGGCCCCAGTATGTGGTCCTGAACCATGCCGGGGCCACGGAATTAACCCTGGCCTGATTGCGCTTGCCTGATACCCGCGATGAAGGAAAAAGGCCGGAGAGGACGGACACAAGCGTTTACTTCAATGTTCAACCACGTTGGTGTCGTTGTGTCGTGTGTGGTGTTTGCGCGTGTGTATTTATAGCTCGAATGTGTGAGTCATACATGCGCTAACATCGAGACCTATGTGTGGGGACACTCCAAGATAAGTATTCGGGCTAATGATGGGGGAGTTGAGGAGTCGAACGGCTGGCGACATGCTGCGACGAGGGGAACCCTGTGTAGGAGGTGGAGCAACCGGATTAGGGGGTTGAATAAACAGGATTCACGACACAATAATACATGCAATTCAATTTTAAACAAACAGTTGCGAAACATTCAGAACACTAAGTAAGTCTTTAAAAATGTGAATATTATGATGCGATTCAGAAACTACCAATACCTCATGTTTTTCGTTTGGCTAAATTTGAGTAAAACAATTTTTACACCGATAAAAGTCTTTTTTTAACAGTAATCGATAAGGACTTTAATAAAACCGCCACATCCCAATGTCTGTCGTCCAGTACGTGTGAATGCACGTTTTGTTGCCTGGAGAAGACTGGCTTTGTCACTGATTTTTCTCCATGCCGAAATGGAGGCCAGAATTTTGACCAGTTACTTTGAGAATCACGCTGCTGTCATGCAGGAGCCAATAGAAGCACTGTTTGTATCATTTTGCAAGTCGATGTACCAACTTCGGTTTGATGAAGTATAAGTACGTAAGTGATAAATCTGTTAACCCTGTGTGTAAGGAAAGTTCTAAAAGTCAGTATTTAACCAAGTGATGATCCCTTAGCGTGCATTTTACAAAAAAAAATCTAAGTCTTTTGATACCTACAGATGATCAGGAGAACTCTGTTTGTTGTGCCAACATGACCTGGCTAAGAACCACACAAACACCCAGCTTATCCGTTTTGGAGCTGAGCATATAATAACGTGCTACAATAAGAAAATATTAAAAAAATATTGAGAATCAGCTGTCTAATTTAAGAAAAAATATATCAACTGTATGCATAATTTGTGACTATCGTGTGAGATACCTTGGCAGTAGTTTTGGGCAGGTGGTGACTGATTCTGTGGAGCTTCGCTTTTACAAGAACCGGTGGTTAATTAATTAAGATCGGATGTTATGAGGAATAAACGGAAAAGCCAATTATCTTGAGTAAATTTCTTTCTTATGAGCTCAAACACTGATAAGTTCTCTGTATGCAGACAGCATCGCTGAAGTTTGCATGGCTGTGTTAACGGGCAGGTCTGTTAGATTGCGTTGTTTAAAATCACAAGCCAAACCACTATTGGTAGAAGCCGGTTTGCACTGGTGACACCGGCAACAGAAAATACAACCCAGTGCAGTTTTGTGGATCGCGTTGATTCACACCCGTTGATGCGGTCACTCCAGCCTCCAACACAGGGTCCCCTTTTTCCCAGCATGTCGCCAGCCACACGGATCCTCAACTCCTCCCTCATTGGCGCGAACGATTATCCTAGATTATCCCCACACCAAGGTCTCGATGTTAGCTCATCTATGACTCTGAGGTATTAGTACACACACGACACCAACTTGGTTGAGCTCTGAAGTAAACGGTTGTGTCCACTTCCTCTGCGGTCCTCTTCGTCGCCGGTAGCAGGGAAGCGTAATTGGGTCAGATCCAACTCAGTGGCCCTGGCGTGCTTCAGACCACATGCTGGGTTCCACAACAGCAGTTTAAATGGACGGATTCGTCAAATTAATTGGTTTTCTTAACGAGACACATTAGTTTAACAGTGCGAATGCAGATCTTACCACACATTTGGTATGGAAAAACGCACGCAGACATATATAGTCGCTCAAAATTGCATATTTTGACCATAATTTGGCGTCAAACACATTGGTGAAAAGTATGTGCGCCTGTGAGGCGAGGTACAAGCTGGCAGGGGAGCATTTTCGGCCTTTGCAAATAAACACCGATGCCATTGCTTTGATGAGGGTAATGGGTTTGGGTGTTATCTTACTATATTGACTTTGCTTTTTAATTGCCTTTGTAAAGTAAATTTCGGCACGAGATGCAAAAACTAACCTGTTCGGTTTACGCTGAAGTTTTGTTCCCTCAAAAAAAACCTTTTTTATGCAAAAGTAGCATTTTGCTTTACGTTAATCCAAGACGCTTAAAAATTTCACTGTGAAAGGGCTTATTTTTCTTTAAACACTACGCACGATGCTTGCTGGTTGCTGCTGAGGGAGACTGGCTTTGCTGGGGTCACGTTTTTCCCGTATTCGTGAACCACACGCCCTGCTAACCACTAACTCAGATCCCTTGTCTGACGCTAGATCTCACACCATCCCACGTTGATGTAAGACAACACGTGACCTCGTCTCAGTCAAAAGTAGAGTAATCTGTCAGAATGTACCCTCTTATGAACGTCACGGATGACCTTGACCTGACGAATCAAGGCTACTTTACTCGGATTGGGCTGCTTGTAGGATATCGTGAGTGACTCACCCACTTGAGTGGAGTGGTTAGGGCAATTGTTAAATAATGACGAAATCTTGACCCACGATGAGCCCTCTCTATGAATGCTGGATCCCAAACAACTGAGTGGTCACAAGGGGGTGACAATTTGTAAAGGCTCCCATTTGGGTCACGAACTACACTGAGTTCACCCAGATCTCGATCAAGGACGACGAAGACGACCCCTATGCAGATGGCTCAACTCCTGTTTTACTTCTCACGTATACTAATTGATTTGCACCAATCAAATTCACGAACTAACCAATGGGTGCTCAGAAAGATAATTTCAACAAAAACAAATTTTCTTACTAGCCCGGGTTTTTAAGTGTACATTTTAGCGGTACGACCCACGTTTCCTAGTTCTTACTAAAATCCGTGCCAGCTGAGTGCACAATAACACTGTCGAAAGACATTTTTGTCGATTTTAAATGGTCCTCTGGTATAGCTCGAGAATCGTGCACAATCTGTGAGAACATTTACACTAAAATTGTTCTGTTTAATGAAATTTAGCCAACTCGGGAATTCACTGTTAGAATTCACGGATCTTCTGGCACAAATATTGCATAAATGTAATTAGGATCCCTACAACTGACCAGAGTAGTCTGTAAGTAATTTGACATTAGTTTGGTGTGTAAATTCCGTTAGATCCCATGTTTCTTCAATTAAATGGACTTTTTTACAAGGGAATCGGTTTTATGGGTTGCGATTGTGGAAAAGCAAAAATGGATCAAAATGTTTGCCAACCATGACCGTTACTAGCTCGCATACATAATCCCTTTTCCTGTCTTAATCCCATAATAAACTCGACGATAAATACGAACGTCTATGGACTTCAAGCCATTGGCCACATGTGTCCTACCATCTTACAGTGTTTTGGGAATCTGTGTGTTGCTACGGCAATATCGACATTACTTATTTCCAGTCTGCAACAACAGGAGCTCGGTATTTCTGTAAAATCACCCTTCCTTTCTCCTAGGTGCACATCGCAAATCACTGCCGAGGGAAAAGTAATTCCACTTAATGAGAAGGCAAGGACTGCTCTGTTTGAGTCGGCTGTCGAGCCAATGGCAAGGAAGGGGCTGCGAACCATTGCACTCGCTTACCGAGAGCTGATAACAGGTGTGGTGTCCGATGCAAGGTTCCCCATTTGTCCATATTTTGCATTTGATTTTGTGTGCCACACCTCTGCCTGTCTAGAAGGTTGTCTAGCTTCTGTTGTGGTTCAAACTCTTCTGTATCACGGTTTTTTTAAGTCATTAATTAATCTAACATAGACTCGTAACTGTGCCACGTAAAACAATTGGACGTAGTGGTTCATGCCTGCATTACATTGATCGCCAGTTGTTAAAGGCAAATTGTGTGCAGAAAGGGCTCTTAACTTGGTTATGAACAGGTCATGGTTTAAATTGTCGTCCCACGAAAGCACGCAATTAATTATTCTAATTGGTTGCGTGTCCACGACAGGTAGCGGAGCATGTTGGTGACTTAGAAAGATTTGTTTTAGGGAACTGAAGAATTTCGTGGCCTTATTGTGATTGTTGTATTACGACGAGTCTCGTGACTACAAACCGTAGATATTTACTTTTGGTAAATGCGTAAGTTCATTAAATGGTCATCAAAAGAATCCGCTAATGAACAAGAGTAGGGGTAGTGACTGAGTTAATGCTGTGGTCAAAATATCTTTACAAAAGTCTCAAACTAAATCAATTAATCTCATTTAAGAATCTAAACACTAGAATGCATTTTCAATGCAGCTAAAATAATCCCTGCTGGATCATTGGTTGCTGGTTCAGGCGATTTTGAAGCTGCGGATGTACACACAGTGGGCGTATTAGCAGTTGTTTTTCGAAAATAATTAACATTTTATTCTCTTTAATGTGTATTCCACCAATATATATTTTACCAGATTTTGATTTCGTACAAACGTCTGGCAGGCGGTAATTAAGTACCAAAACGATAACACGAACAAATTTGTTTTTGAATCGGCTCTGTCGCTATTCATTTCGCATTTGTTTTTAATTTTTCAAAATTGGGCTCACAGCACAAACATTTTACCGTTTAAATGTTAAGTACTCTGATAAACGGCATTTGGTGTTCGTGCTTTGTGCATCAAATGCGCATTTAAGGTCTCAAAAATGCAAAAAATATATGTACGTCCTACTTTATTTATCATAGGTAAATTTGCTGGAATCTAGAATAGAGTGCATTGTAACGAATTTGGCCTTTATTCCTGCTGGGTTTTGTCACACAATTTTGTCGGTAAATAATGCACAGACACTAAACGTGAAGGTTGCCAGACATAATTCCCTCTCAAGACATAAGTAAACAGGTTTATTGGAAAGTTGAGACGCTGGGAACCACTTCAAATAAATTAGCAAGATCCGTAGTTAACCAAAAACATCGTGGCGAAAATCCCCAAACATTAATGGTCCCCTAGTGATCCCGTGGCCATCAACAAGTGAAACGTCTTACTGGGCACGAGCGAGCAGAAATCCAATCGATTTTCTTGAATTCGAATCACGGAACGACGTTCGTCTAAAGGTCGAACGTGAAGCCTTCTGTGGCGAGCAGCCCCCGTGATTGGACAAAATTCAATTGATTTCCTTGAGTGCACTTCACGTAGTGATCGATGCGAACTGATCCTATATAAACTGACGACTTCCCACTCTGTACTTTTAAACCGGTTGATTGTCGCGTCATCTAGTCTTCTTCCTCTTCACTAATCGGGCCTGTGCGGTCTGAAAATCACATTAGGACCTCTGCAGTTCTCCCCCCTGATCTAAGTCAAACTCCACAATTCAAACTGTCACCGCCCTAGACGTAGTCCAATCTATTTTCGTATTTGGCAAGACTTTTCTTATAAGCACATGATGGAAGGCCATAAATCCACTACGAACGAGCTTAGTTAAATAACGAATAATTGTTTTGGGGGGACAGCAAACACAGGTGCAAGTTATGACCAAGGCAAATAATGCAGTGATTACAACGGTTTTGAGGTACTTAGGTGATAAGAACCAGCAAATGAAATATGGAGTCACAGGAATCTGTTAGGAGAGGTTGTTAAATTAGCTGAAACAGTTACTTCGGTCCCACTACATGCCAACCTGCCTGCACACGTGTGGTCATTCCCACATAACTAAAGTAATAAGCCTTGAATGAATGAAGACTAAATACCAGCGCATCTTAGGTAGATATACAATAACAGCAACAGTTGAACGGGCTGTCTTGTTTACTGAATATTGTTACAAGCAGTGTGCTGTCCCTCCTTAGCACGAAGTCGCACCCTCAACTTCGACAACGAGGATCTCTGGCTTCGTGATTTGGTGTTCGTCTGCGTGGTTGGAATCGAAGACCCCGTTCGTCCAGAAGTACCACTCGCCATAGCCAAGTGTCAGCGGGCGGGCATAACTGTGCGCATGGTGACAGGCGACAACTTGGAGACAGCGCGTTCCATCGCCCTCAAATGCGGCATCCTCACTGACCAAAGTAGGCTGTCTGAGGGCGTGGTCATGGACGGACGCATGTTCAACAGGCTAATTAGGCACCGCGTCACCGGCCAGGTGTCCCAAGAGCTCGTGGACAAGGTTGGTAGTCCGACTTCCACGACAGTGTGATTGTCGTCCGAAGTGTACGCATTCGGTTAGCCACGTATTTACCCCTTGGTCATATCCAGGGTTACGGCGGGTTCTCCTTAGCACAATTTCTGCCAATCTAGTGGTTTGGTGTCATTGATTACCTGCCGTATCTTGAAGGTTGGAACTAGCAATATATAGATGGCCTATTTAGGAGTGGAATTGGTTTGTGTAACTTAGAGTCCGCAACAACGTGCTGTTGATGTACCCTTGAACAAGAAACAGTAGCTGGAAATTGTTTTGCTACTGTGCCAAAAATTCATCAGGTTTATGAGTCCCAGCAATGTACAATGCCTGTACAAGTTGCTCTATCTGACAGCCGTGTTGCGGGACACATTAGCTCAAAATGAAGTTACTTGACAGGAATATGCACATTTTAAGTATCCAACAAATCTCTCTACAAACTACTGTAACCCAAATTATAAAAAGTCTGTTTAAGTGCAGAAAAATGTACCTTTTTTAATTTATTAAATTAAATTGTCATAATTGGATTTTGGTTTTATTAAGTTATTTCAAATTGGTGCCATTTAAAGACTTTTTTTAAAAAAATGACTTTAAAAATGGCACGCAGCGAGTGAAATAAAGTTTCTTTGGAGTCAATTAGAGACCTGATTGCGATCTGTAAAATTTGCGGGTGGCAAGATGCTTAGATACATTCACCTGGGCATCACGAAGGAGTTAACTCAAGGAAAAGTGGCTTTTATAACACGATTCCCAAGTTGCAACGGCTCAGAGATGTGGCTGTTTTTGAGCGGAAAAATGAATCCATAGAAGAGTTCGCCAAACGGAACATCTTGTTGAGAGTTTTCCACTAGTTTGAAATATTTTTTCTCAAATTTGATAAGCACACTTGGAACTTTCATGTGTCTAAGGGGGTAAATTCTTCCCAAGGCATTCAAATGCGCTTTTCAAATGAACAAAAATGATTAATAAATGAATTAAATAAAGCGACTTATCGATTTTTTGTAGAAGATTTGAATAAACAAAGGGGTTAATGAGGAGTTTGTTTAAAAACTTAAAGTCACTGGATTTCTCCAAAAAGTTTTCCGCCAATTTTGTGCCAGTGGAACTTTTAAACCGCTACCCTGTCTGTGTCTTATTGGCGCTGCAGTCAATCAGCACGCCGGCGTGAGACTTGATCGTGAATGTACAGATGGTTTGTTCAGTTGATCAAGTTTTTTGCTCCTGTTTTATTTTATTCCCCGTGACCCAAAATATGCTCTAGAAATCCAGCAACCGAATTGCCTGTCTGACGCAAGACCTACCAATACATTCGACGACCAAGGCATGACCTCGTGTAGCGAGCGTGGACGCTCTCAGCCAAAGGCCCTTTGTCGTGTCAGAATGTGCAGCATGCTTTAGTCATAAGTGACCTTGACCTAAAGGGTCAAAGAGGTTAACGCGGAGGGAACTGTCAGTTGGGGGAGGGGGGGAGACGATGTGAGTTGGGACACTTGTGTAAACAATTGTACTTTGAGGCAACACGAGAATCAAACGATTTCATTTCGCTGCGTAAACGGGGAGCTTCTATTAACCCCAGATTTCTTTCTCTTGCCTCAAAAAAAGTTTTCCGATTTTCAGAGCTACCACCTGATTAAAATGAAAACTTTTCTCTACCTAATGAAATTGCTCACAACTAAAGCGATTGGTGTGTTTTGAAAGCGCAGAAAGCTTGTGATTGTAGCGAAAATTGATGCACGCAGAGCAAAATTACACCCTCGAATACAAAATAACAAAATAATGCTATGAAAATCGTGTCTATTCGACACAAATGTTTAAAAATGTCCAAGTGTGTCCGATTGGAGTAGATCTAATTTTAGCAAAGTAGCCTATAGTTCTTATCGCTGCTGACTATCTGGCATAGTTGGAATAAACTTCTCTCAGTGCATTAACAGGCTGATTAGTTGAGATTTTTAGAGTCTTCAAAACATTTTCGTTAAAGTCGTATTTTACTGTTGGAGCCAATAGGAACTTAGCAATCCAAAAATTCACTATTTTCGAAGAAAAACACCTTAATTTTATTCCATCCCTTTGATATTCTATGCGTAATATGCCGAAACTGCTTGTGTTGAGTGAATAAGGTTGATTTGTTTGAAAAAAGTTGTTTCAGAAATTTTTAGCGTCTACAAAATGAACTTTTCTACAAAATTGGAAAAAAACATGCCACGCATGGAAGGACTAAAATGTAATTGGGGATTTTAAGTGCTGCTAAAATTTCTGTTCCCAAATTATATGCCTTGGAAATACGCAAAATATGTGTATTTGCAAAACACTAGTGCTCTACTAGTATTTTCATGGAAAAAAGGGAGACTGATTGAATTTGCACTGTCCAGCTTCCTGCAAAAATGTTCTTTCGGTTTTGCTTTGTGATTCATTGGTTAATCTAAATGAAAAACTTAAAATCCACTTATCTGATATTTACCAATACTTGGTACTTTTGAAAAGACTTAGGTGATGGATTTAATGCTCTTTTTTACCGAAAAATATGATTTTAAGGTGTGTAGTAGTGGGTCGGCAAACCGATGAGGTAGCGAAAAGTTTATTCGCCCGCTGGGCACAATGTGTCACGGTGTGTGAGTGCATGGGCCTGTTCATGAAGTACTTGTGAACAGGGACCAATCAAAAGCAAGGGCGAGTGATACCGACCAATCACTTTAAGGCTAAAAACTGTTCGCACCGCAAACGGTACAGTAGGGGTTTATCACTTTCTCGAAGCTTTGACGATCGTCTCACGACAGGAACAGACGTTTGACGATTGATATTTGGATGTATTGTTCATAAAGTATGTACTTTAAAGGCTGCAAAGAATATTAAGCTTGCGTGTCCGTCACATCTAGAATCCATCAGTGAAAAGTTTTTATTGCCAGTCTGTAAAAAGTTCGTAGGGAAAACATGAGCGAATAATTTATTTCACATAAAGAGGAATCATGACGAACGTGTTCGTCATGCTTAAAAACATTTCTTCTTCCGGCGGTGTCCTCTGGTTACGTCAGATCGTGTTTCTCCGTGATTTTATCAAATTAGATGCACCAACGCCGTGGTGAGTTGAGAAATACCGCAAATCCCATTCACTCTGCCAAATTGACAGTAGCTGCAACTGGAAATTCTCGTCACACCTTCCGTATTCTCCCAACTTGGAATAACAGCGGCGATTACATTATTGTTTACAGCACATGCTGTCACCAATTAAAGCATGTTTCAGAAGTTAGACAGTCACGTTTATACCCAAATGTATCAATAAATCGTGGCGGTCGAATATCAGAAAATTTGTCGACTTTACTACTGAAAACGTACGGCAGTAGGGTTAAGACTGAATCACTTTTTGCTAAAAAAAATGATAAATTAGTGATGAAGACGTAGCTTTGTCATCGTATTTGACGATGATGAATGCACAACCATTTTTAAATGTTTTATTTAAAAAGATGCGTTCTGTATGCACAATAAAGTAATTTTTCTTCTTTCGAACTGCGTAAAATGACCTCCCACATCAGACTTCTACCTCGTAATAAAGCTTACAAGATGACTCACTTCCTTCTCTTCACTTTCGCACTAAAAGCTTTTTTAAGTAACAGTTTGGGGTTTTCACCCTATAATGTAGGGACCTTTAGACTTAAACGGGGTAATTAACCAATCAGTGAACACGTCGAAAGCCAAAGTTTATCCACGTACTTTGATATGAGCGGTTGTATTAAGTTGCAGCTCTTTTAAATCATTTGCATTAATTTGAAGTATGGCAATGTAAAATGACTAGGAACAGATCCATATGTGGCCTGCTGTTTCTGGTGAGAAATCCGCGAGTTGAATTAGACTTTGTCCACTCTATAAACAACGCAAAATTCCTTAACCTTTTACCTACAAAATTCTACTCCCATGTGTTGTGAATGCCGAAATAACTTGCTCCTAAGTAGTGTACTCCCGCACTCTGTTCTCTCTGATGTGAAATCCTAAATAATGCAGTTATAAAGTCGTATAAATCCGCAGTCTTTGCTCTCAGCATTAGTCTACGAGAGAAATCCAATGATTAATGCGTCATTTGATATTTTAAACTTACTGATCTCGAATGTCAATAAGAGCGACTTGTAGGATTCGTGCGAGACAAAAAAATATGCCTTTTATTTAACATTGAGAGCCACTAAGTTGATGGTGACGCCTGTGGCTGATGCTCGTATCATTTGCATCTAAGTAGCGCTATCGAAGCTTATCATTTTATCATTTTCAGTGGTTGAATGTGCATCCACGACTAACCAATCCTAACACTTCTTTTCCAATAATCGACATGCTTAATCGAAATTACCTGTGATTACTGATAACTGATTGCTTTTTCACAAATGATTAAAAAGTGGCACCATTTGTAAGGTGACAGCTGAACAACAAGGTTCATTTACTAGAACTCTAAATTTCCTCCGTGTTGACTGATTTAAGTTAAGCATTTTACGTAAAAATGCAAGTTTATAATTTACGACTCATTTACGAAATTTCTGATTTTACTGTTATTCAATTCATTTCATTTTTTTACCTTGAATTATAATGTTTAGTCATATCCTAGAATATTTCAAGTCAAATCCATCTGAGATATGTCTTTTAGTCGGCGTAAATAGTACATCTAGTGTTCTAGAGACTCAATTTTTTACACTTACTTCAACGCGGTTTTCTAATGTCGACTGTCTCTTTGTTACTTTTTTGCCGAATTTTTTTCCTGCCTGCTTTAAATTTGCTACATAAACTTTTGACACCACACTACGCTTTAGAAGTGACCACGTCCATTTCGGTCGGTGTCCACGTAGATCAGGCCATTTGTCGGTATGCATTTTGCAAAATCCCGCTGTCTACTTGATAGTTTAACCGGAAAAACCGCGCAAAATGCAAGTATTTCAGCATGCAGTTAAGGTTTTTTGTCAAAATAATTTCGAAATGGTATCCAAGTCACGAAACGAAACCTATGAGTTTAAAATACAAAATCTTGGCACTATTTGATGAAATTGGAGGGAAGACAGTCGCTGATACAAGCTCTTCTCTACCCATGAGGTTTTATTCGTGTAGCCGGACAAGCAACAAGCAGATTTTTAAAAACATTTCAGTTAAAAAGTAAAGATATGTGTAGTGTTTACGTAAATCAGCCCTATAGATGCACTCATATGTTTGGACGTGGGTTTGGTAAATTAACTACGCACTCAAATCCATCTAATGTCTTGGGATTCAGCCGAGTAAACTGGATTGTCAGCCCAATATAAATTCAGATTATCAAACACTCCATCATACTTTTAAACTTTTCCTTAGAAACTGCCACCCGCGTACTTTTTAGGTGTCACCAACTTATGCAAAATAGGCTCTGGTTTGTTAGAGCCGATTAACATTTGTTCCTTGAAAATTGTACTCTCTAGGGCTACTTGTATGTTGGTTTGGTGACTATTTTTTGAACATTGCCGTAAGTTAATTTGAGATCCTGCTTCTACCCGCAGTCACACGATTAAAAAATGCATTGAAAGGGTTCCCTGAGGATGCTGGTTTGAAAATAAACCTGTCTATGCTAAGCCATCATGAAGTCAAAACCTCTGTTTACTTTACCTTGACAGTTACCTCAATCTGATTAAACACCAAGTCGCAGTATTCCTGTTACTTGGTGTGAATGTGTACTAGTCGGCGGATGAAGTTGGCAAGTTAGATATAGCCCATTTGCGATTGGTCGACTAAATTGTTGTGTAGTGGGTTGGCAGCTATCGCGCCTGAGTGAATCCTGCTTACTGACCTGACGGTGTCAGTGACTCATCCCCTTTTCATTGGTTACTGTTATGAGACACCTGTCATCCGCTCACTCATCTACACACACTAAAATACGCTTGGCCGGCGTGATGCGAGTAAAAGGTCGCGTCCTCTGTCGTCTCTCATTCATCCACACACTGCATTTATTACGTCGGGGTCACCGAATGTAGTGGCTTCACTTCACACCACCTTACAACCCTCTAGTTAACAGGTCGTAATAACCCTAGAAGAGAGGAAGGGGAGACGGCAATGTTATCCAAAAGCGGGAGGAAACGTATCAACAGGTGAAAAGGCCGTCGTTGTTTGAATGAGTCCAGTTTTAGTAAACAGTTATGCTAAATTTACACTTCCATTTAGGG